TTTCCCCCCGGCGCTCCGAGCCATGGCGGTGCAGCCGCTTCCCGTCCTTTTTCCTCGTCTGGATCCCGCCCGCCCTGCGGGTCGCGCATATCGCCGCGTTTCGCCGTCCTTTTTCCCCGTCCTAGCTCGGATGAGGTGGCGGAGATAATTGCTGGTTGAGGAGGGAGGCGTAGTGCATCGCCGAGCTGGGAGATGCAGGAATGTAAAAGGGTTGTGGTTTTCAGGGCGGTTTTTTTGTGGACCTGTAGGTAGTGGATCTGTGCCTGGATTCAGGAGAGCACAATTACCGAGGCAGCCATATTGGGATGATGATCTGACAATCCTCTGTGAGCTAAGTCAGGAGGCAGGCGTCAGGAGACAGGATGACAGGCCTGGTAGTTTTGGGGTCATTGGAGAATACGGGTATTAAACTGAGGCTGGAGAACTAGAATTCACCAGAAGCAGATGGTGAATTTGTATCCGTTCCCTGAAATGTAAAATATGTTCGTACCAAATTTTGAAGTATATTTCTCTTCACTTCCAGCTCCTTCTTAGCTCAGCGCTTTTTGTTATTGCACAATCCAGTACATTGGTGTGTTGATAAATAGCCATATGTTTATATGATCAGGTTTTCAGTGCATGGCCAAGTTCTGCACCGCTGTTTTATCTGGCATCTTCACTTAGTACAAAGATAGCAACTCGTAGTGTGTGAGTTCAGCTGATATATCAGGCTGTCATCACTACCTGATCCTTCATGGAGGACCTAAAATTGGATTCGCTGTGGTCCTCTTCTTCATAAACCCCTGCTGCTCTGAACAGCTGTTTTGCTAACTTTCCATCTACTAATCTCTATCCTTGTTCATTTTCTTTCTTTAGAGCTGTTGTACTGATTAAGTTACAAGCAATTTTTTGGTTTAAAAGTCAGCACCTTCTCTGGTAGCCATACCTATACAAATATGACACAATGGCTGGCTGCGTTAAATAAAAGTGATGCTTCTTCATTTGTGATGTGTGGTGTTTGTTTTTTTTTTTTATTTTATTGAATGTAGAAATACAGATTCTGAACATTGTTTTTGTAACCGCTCTGAACTTGTTTCAGACTCTGAATATATAAATAATAATTTGACTCTGAATCCCAACTCTGCTTGTAACTTTATTTCAAAAAATAGCAATATGTTCTGTATTTTGACATTGCATAAAAACTAGTTTGCAAAAAATTTCAATACATCCAAGGATCCAAGTCTTAATGAACTTGTTTCCTTAAACATTTGTGTGAAAGTCCAAATCTAGTTACGAGTGCTTTGAGACCATGAAGGATGATTGACCAACATCATTGGGTTTGTCAGCTCAAATAACAGAAAACAACCATCATTTGGTCTAATGACACACTTTAATATTAAAATTTCGTAGTGTGACTTACGGGGTTGATGGTAGATGTCTTTAATAATAATTTAAAATAAGTGTAAAATAAATATGTAGGATTTGCTTTTGTACCAATGGAGCTACCACCAGTTCTAGAGCCAGTGGTATATCACGTCAAAGACTCAAGCGTGTAGCTCCCTCATTTCCTTGATTCCTGATTGGATTCAGACAGGCCAAATGTTAAAAGGTACACAGCCAGTAGAGTCTGAGACATTAGGAGAAGGTTTCATTCTAGTGTGGATGGCAGCCTTCTAAACCTATAATGAACATTAGAAAAAAGAAGCTGTCTCTTATAAAGATTGTTCTTCTAAATCCGTACCACAGCCTGTGTTGCACATTTTGTTTTGCTTTGTGGCGAGTTACATCTCCTAGTACCCCTCTGTAGACAGCGTTTTGTAGTAGTAAGTGATACGGCTGGGAAATGTGAACCCTGAAAAACCAGTTGCAATTTATTATTTGTGGTGCTATGGAACTTGGTCTCGTTTTGCCTTATTTTATCATTCTGTATGCTGAGGGCAATACGGCCTTTGTAAAGTGTTTCAACCAGTTAAAGTTGCTAATAAGTGGGAAAAAACCCTCAAACCCCAACTTAAATTTATGGGAAGCTTGGAAAAATGTATTTTTCTTATTAATGAAAATTAAATGTTACATAGTGAGATGGTGTTCAAAATGTGAAATTCATGTGCAACTACAAGTAGGCGTTTTGCTTACTTCAGATATGAAAAGTAGCAGAGTTGAGAATGAATGAGATTTAAAATTACACCACATTTAATTTTCTATGAGCACAAAAGTTAGTGTTGGGAAAAGTTGGTAATTGCAAAAGTGTAGCAGTTACATTTTTATGCTGTTCTAGGTGATTTTGTGACCTGTTCTGTAACAGTTTCTTCACAGTGATGTTTCAAACAAGGCTATCGTTTAGCTGGTGCAGATGGAGTCTCTGGCAGTGTGCTTTTTGTGCTTTCTTGCTGTGAATTTGGTGTGCAGAGGTACTCAAGAATTATTTTTTTTTTTAAAGTAGGTGATACTTTTACTCCATTTTCTGTTTTCCAATTCACTAGGTATGCTAGTTAGCTGCAGAAATTAGTGTAGTTTTCTGAGAGGTATTTCTATGAAAACATCAGGAAAAAAATCTTTGTATGTGGGATTCTTCCTTAAGAAGGGAAAAAAGCTCTGTCCATTTCATAAATAATGTTATAAGAAAACTTATTTTTATTTTCTTTTTTTAAAAATCCCCTTCATTAATGGCCTTACCTTAATTCATTGGTCCATGTGGGAAGCTGACAAAATTACGATTTTCACGTTAATGTGGATAGATGGGGACAAAAAAGATGAGAACCACTAAGCCACTGTCAGGTAGAGTTTCTATCATGTGCTACACCCTCTGAAAATTCCACTGACTCGTCTTTTCTGCATTCTGTCAAAGGAAACCATGTCACTATGATCTTAATAACAGAGGTTTTGCACTTGATAGATTTCTTGAATTGTATTTCAAAACCAGAATGTTTTGTGGCCATGTACAGTAACATTCCCATTTTCTAGCAGCAATATTCAGGGTCAGCTGATTAGACTACTCGGATGTATCAGGATTAGTCTTGTCACTTAACTTTCATGTGAGGGCACAGGTACTTACGCAAGGGTCATGGTAAGAAGGGAGAGCAAAAATTCCACACAGTAGGTACTCAGGAATAAGGTTTATAATGGAGCTACATGTTTGGTACACTTGGTTATACAAAAAAGTAGGCACCTCTGAGAGAGAGCGAATAAAGCAGTCCTCTGAAACGGCCCACAATCTCCATTAAACTTTGATCATGAGAATTCATTCCCATTACTTCTTTGCTGTAGTCTGTTTAAGTTTTTAGTGAAACTTCTTAAAATTCTTACTAGCCTAAAGTTGACTGTGTGGCTGTGTTGTGAATTGTTAATCTACCAGTTTGCTCTGACACTGAAATTCAGTTGGCTTGTTCCTAAAGACACTCCTATTCTTCTAGTCTGGTGAGATACCTCGTGTACCTGCTAAAACAAGGAATGCTTTAAATTACTTCTCCTGCTTGGTGGAGTAATTTAATTTCTGCCTTCATCATGTGATGGTGTTAATGAAGTAATGCAGTTTTATTAAAAACTTCCTGTACTGTGTGAAGATCTGTCATAATTTGAATTAAGCGTGTAGAAGTATTTTTACCAGCTGTAGGACTTACTTTAGTGCTGAAATGCTGCTGCTTTAGATCTGCTAGAAAGTTTTGTACTTTTGTGGCACTGTGATTACAACCCTAAAATGAGCATTTAATTGCATATGTGGCGTAGAGATAACTAGAAAAGAAGATACCGAGATTTCTGGGCCACGCATGGTGACTTGTGCAGGGTATTGTGCCCGTGTTAACTCAGATTCAAGACAGAAATGACTGCATAGAGCCAGACCAAAGATTCACCTAGCTCTGAATCCCGTTTTCAGCAGTGGCCGTAGGAGGTATTTAGAATATAAGGATAAATCAACCGTGTAATCATGTTTTCTCAGTATAATCTTCCTAGTTCTGAGAGTCTGTGCCATGGAGGCATTCCTAGCCAAGGGTGGTAGCTTTTTACTAGACCTTGATGGCTTTTTCTTTGATTCTATCTTACTGCCTTTTGAGTCTGTTTAACTTCAGAACTGGCGGTATCCTGTGGCAATAAGTTAAACTGTTTTAACTGTAGATGGACTGAAAAACTTACTTCTAATAGAAAAGGCCGGTTGAGGACAATACAATTGAACCAGTCTTTATTAACCCTACGTTTCAATACTGTCTCGGACGTGCCGTGAAGTTTAGATTGTGGGTATCAGGGACAGTTTACGGCCAACTAAAGCGCTCCGTTATTTGGATGTGGTAGGATTTGAACAAGTATTTTGATAATGAAGATGAATTTACTGGTGAACATTTGCTGAAGATGGATAGTAATATTTACCCTGAAGGCAATAATTTTTGATTCCTGTTCTTACACAGCGGTGTGTCCTTTTATTACTAGATATACAAGTAGTTAATGAGTTTTTATTTCCTTTGAGGACTTTCCCGGGACGGCAAAGGGTTCTTTAAGGTTCTTGAGTACCTGCTTTTCTCTGGAATGGTGTGTATTGAAAGTCAATGTGACACGGCCCATCACACTTGTGTTAGTTTTAGTGTTATTGCTAATGCATTTTGTCAGCAAGGGTTGACCTCGATGTGTAGTATATGGTAACTAGCTCGTGCTGAAATCTAAGTAGCTGTGTCTTTACTGCTAAAATTATCTTTGTTAGGTTAAGCCTAACACATGTTGCAACCAGATCTTCGTTTTGGTATTGGCACCCCTGCTTTCTGGGAAGAAAACCAAGTAACAAAACCAAATATGTTTGTACTCTTCAAAAGAACTGCTTCAGGTGACAGAAACTTTTGACTAGAGAGACAGTGTATGGGTGCTGTTAAGTGTATTTCCAGTTCTGTCTTTGAAGAGACTGCTGTCACAGGAGGGAGGGTGACTGTGATTGCAGAGCAGAGCAGAAACTAAAGTTATCAAACAACTTTGAACCTTTGTAATTTTATCAACATCTTGAATGCAATAACTGTAAATAGCTAAATTATATTTTTCTCTTTAGAAAACACCAACAAGAAGGATAACTTGAAACACTCTTGACCCCTTCACTTTCGATTTCTTGACTGCACTACAAGCAACCAGAATGTCGGGGGCTTCAGTGAAGGTGGCTGTTCGGGTCCGGCCCTTCAATTCCCGAGAAACCAGCAAAGAATCCAAATGTATCATCCAGATGCAAGGCAATTCAACCAGTAAGTTTATTTTAATCTTCTAAGGGAGTCTTTATTTCTCCTTTCCCTTCCTGCTTAACCCTCTTCTTTTTGTCAGACTAAACTGAGTACTGTGTACCTTATATCATCTACAATTACTGTTTCAGGGAGTCTTCTCTTCTGAGGCTGTCACTACAAACTAGATTGTCTCTGAGTTTGACTAGAAAGTCTAAATCATGAGTACCTTAGTTTTGATGCAGTTGTTGATGGTGTTTGCTTGTGGTGAGTTGAGAACTCTACAGAAAAATTAGCATACCAAAGTGAAAACCTTTGTGCTAACTTCAGTGTGTGGGAGTATCATGTGGACTGACAGATACAGGGATACATTGCAGACCACCACATGATAATTGTTGTGGTATAACTCCTGCTTGGGTCTGGTGCTTTAGCTCCTGGTGTGCTTGTTCTGCAGTCTGTGCCTTTGTTTAGGAGCATAATTGGAGTGAGACAGCTGAGGGGAAAGGGTTGTCAAGTTTTGTACTTTCCAGAGTAGATGTCTAAATGATGGCAAAATAACACACTACATAAAATCGTATTATTTTCTAAACAATTAGAAGCGTTAAGGTGCTTAAATAATTGTGGGTCTAATTTGGAGGAGCAGACCCTTTTATGGGAAACTGAATATGAGCACACCATTGATTGATTTTTAAATTTTTTTTTTTTTACATGCTTCTTAAGGTCAAGGCAGTATTGATACCCTTTGCTGCAGTGTCATTGGTCATGTGTAGGCTAATGGCTACACGTGTAAACTGCTGCTCTTATGATCGTTTTTCATCATTAGGTGATCAGGTAGAGTCATCCTGTCTGTAGCTGTAGGAAGTGATGCTCCAAGAGCACTGAGTTACTTCACCATCTGCTTACTTGAGTATTTACTCATGACTGTTAATACAAAGGAGGTTTCACACAGGCTCCTCCTTTTTTTTTTTTTTTTTTTGCCAAGGTGGTACTTCAGCCTGCTTCTGCAATGGAATTTAAGTCCTGGTTGTGGCCACTTAGATTATATACAAAGTTTATGGTTTCACTGGAAGAGAGGCATCATACAGAAGAGAGCTTGCTTTTCAGTACAGTATATTCTTATATTCAGACCTTATGTGGAATATTACCCAAAGAAATTTTTTGGGGGTTGGATTTCAAAATTTCTGTTTAAAATGAAGGAGGAAGGATGTTTAGAAGTCATCCCATGTAGAAACAGGTGCTTGTATCCCAACATGTCCTGCCAGCTTTCAGACCCAAGCACTGTAGAATGGAAGTACTACAACTCCATTAGATGGCATTTGTTAATGGGTGCCACTGTAATAGCTTTTCTTGCTGCTGTCATGACATGGCAGCAATAACTTTGGATGCTTAAGATATTTGAACTCCAGGAGTCTGTGGAAACAGCTTGTTTGTGGTACAATGACGAGAGTGACCAGTGAATCTCTGGCAATCTGTCTAAGTTTGAAATGTGGTGTAGGCAAAAGACACTGGTTCTGTTTCTGAATGTTAGAGCTGCAACACAAAGACACTTAACATTTTCAAGAAACTGCATCAGCTTTCAAAAGGAGCAAAATGCTTGCTAATTTATCTAGTTGGAAATTTCTTTACACCTTTGGCTAAATTTTGTGCTCTGGATATGTTCTGATCCGCAGCCTTCTTTTGAGTCCTATGGCTCTGATACAAGATGGGTGATATGACAGATGGTCGGGTTGAAGTCATCAGGGGCCATTACAGACTGTGGGAAAGGAATCATCAGTTGCAATAGTTATATATTCTTACAATCTGTAGGCTATTTTTTCCCCTGTATTTCCCTCTTAGAGGAGAAATACAGAAGAAAGCGATAGACAGAGGAGTGATTTTACTCGTTAAACAGAAGAGGATCGTATAATAAAATATATGAATAAGGCATTGTTTGGTGGGGAAAAACTGAGCAAAAATCATCTCTCCAAAGAATCTTCCTAATGAAGTTGTCTGATGCACATAACTTCAAGCTGAAATTCTTCTGATATGATTTTAGGCTACATTTTAGATATTTGGGCATAAGTACTGTTGCTATTTCTGCCAAGGATTCTTTCTTTTTAATAATCCCTCAGTCTTTGCAGTCTCGCAGTTACGTTATTGAACTCCTTATTATTAAGAGCTGAACTTGTTGCCTAAAAGCTGACTACAGAAAGTGACATTAACGTATCTGACTGATACCTGATGCAGCAACTTCAAAATGAAGGGAATTCAGTAGTAATTCTAGTCAATGGAGTTCCTGCTTCATACCTTCAGATGTGCTGGTGAAATGATCAAGGCTTAGATGTCTTGTCTCTGAGAAGGTTACTTTTTCATTTGTGCACTAATCAAGTTGACAGGAGGCAAATCTGAGAGGCTGATGATACGTTGGGTAGTGACTATTTTAAGCCTCCAAGACAGTAAAAGTTCCCTTACCTTGGAATTAAAGCCTGGTGGACTATTGTGAGGAAGAGGATTGATGGGACAGTCTGATAGCTACGAACGGATTTTGACTGTTACTTGAACTTTAATTCTTTTTGTATTTATTGGCCAAGCTATTCTACAAATCCTTTGTGAGTCCTGAGTTTAAACTTTGTCCAAGTCTGAGTTTTGTAATTGTACTGGCTGATACAGGCAGAGACTACATTATAGTGAAACTGAGGCAAAGTGCTTAGGATTATTTTGAGGAAAACAGTATAGAGATACAAATAATAGTGTACCATAGGTGTGCACCATTTAGTTTTTTAATGAATGTTTGAAAAAAGGAGTGTTTTTTGACATCCATAATGAAGTATATTCCTGAAGTCAGAGTGCTACCAGGGTTATTGTCTGACATGCTGCTTTTGTTTGTCAGTTTTTGTGTGAATTTGGCTGTTTACAGCTTTTGGGACTGCCTGTCGTTCACGGTGGGCTTGCCAGCAAAACAAAACGTCCTCTGGGGTTAGAAGCTTATTCTCAATTTTGTTATACCGTTTAACTTGTGGACTTGTGGCATCCTACAGAATTAGCTTGTTGTGCAGTCTGGCTTCTGTGTCATTTAATTGTGGAAGATCAAGGCCTTTAATCAAGATCCATACTAGATCTCCATCTTTATAATTTCTAAGTGTTTAAAAAATAACAATATAGCTGAATACAGTTCTATGTATGTCTTGATCTCAGAAACAGAGAGTATTACAAAGGTCTTGAACCCACAATGTTAAGAGCACTTGCTGTGAGTAACTGGGACTTCTGTTTTTCTGTTGGAAGGATGCGAAATACAGGAATGTTGAAATTGTAACTTGAAACGTTGTTTGTCCCATCCCGTCGTGTCCGTGTTGTGTCCCGCCCCCCCCCCCCCCCCTTTTTTTTTTTCCTTTTTTGGTCTACTGTACTAAGATGACAAGACTAAATTTTTTTTTATTCCCCTTTACGTTTCCAGAAGTATTGATCTACAGTAATACAGCATCTTGCACTTCAAGAATTGTCAGCCTTTATGGTTTTAAAACATATGTTGCAACAATGAAATTCTGCAGCCCAGCTGAAGTCACATGTGCTGACTGCATCAAGGGGCTGGTATTTTGGCAGAAGGCCTGTGCTGCTCAGGTCGTATGTAATTGCAGACGGTATCCATTTGAACGATACTGCCAAAAGTTCTTCAGTGGAAATAGAAGTGGGGGTAGGAGATAATAGAGGAATTCTTAAATATAGGAGAAGTTAGAAGCTGCAAAATCCTGCTTCTTAATTTGGGAATCCCACATGCTTTCCAAAGATAAGATAATGTCATAGTCAAATTACTGATTAAATAACCCTACCAAATCAGTAACCGAGTGCAATTAATTTAAGAAAAGACCATCGTTTGTTTTTATTAATATCATTTAGATACAATTTTAAGAAACACAAGATTTGTTTTCAAAAGCACCTGCCTTGCAAGTGGATTCAGTTGACCTAAATGCTTTGTTTTTGTTTGGAGTTATGTCTTGAAGAGCATTTCTATGTTGCCCGTTGTACAGAGGTCACTAGTGGATCTGAATGGCCGCCCTGAAGTCTCATGTGCAGATACCCACTCAGGACCAGGCAGAGCCTAGCTGTGTTTGTAGCGTTGCCTGTGGTGTAGTCAGCTGTGCGAGGGTTCCTGGTGAGAGAAGGGGAAAGTTAGTGGGCTCTGAGGGCTTTTCATATTGATAATTAACTCCCTAGGGTGAGCCCTCTGTTAGCAGTCCTTAGTATTGGTTAGCTTGACACTGCCTGATACATTGTTTGTTTCGTATTCTGCTTATTACAGAATATTTTCAAGTGAAACTTGGCATCACTGGGCTCTTTAAGTTGCTTTTTGTGGTGGTGGTTTATTGATAAAATCCCACCTAATATTGAAACAGGCTGAAACTTCTGAAATAACACCTTTGTTTTTTCCTCTGAGGTAACTCTGTTAAATTTTCAAATTTATTTAAAGACTGACAAAATTAATATTTTGTTTAAGTTACTGGATGGGTGGCTTATCGTGCTCTAAGTCTAACTCACAAGCAACTTTTTGAAATGAATAATTCAAGAATAGTTCATGGTTGTCAGCATATCTTGATTGAGTATGTTTTAACTCCTGCTTTTTCACTTTTCTGGGGAGGAATAATTTACAGCAATGCATCTTACCCCCGATGTGTTAATTACTTATTGCCTTTCCAGTTCATTAATTACGGTTTTTGTGGTGAGTGGGAAAAAGATTCTGCTGTGTAATACATGGGATGAAAGGTAAGCTATAGATCTAAGAGCATTTTGTGTGTTGGTAGTTCTCGTACTCATTCTTGTGTCAGGCTTTGAAATGCAACAAATACAAACAGCATTGGCAGCTGCTGTCTTGGATTATTGAAATTAAAAGCTAAACTATTCTGTGCCTAAAGACTTCCCTAGTATTGTGGTTTTTCTGGTTTTATTTTGGTTGGTTGGTTATTTTTGTGGAAGTGATTTGATAATCCTGTCCATAAATAAACAATGCATAACTAAAAACACGTGGAAATGAAGCAGAGGTTCAAGCTAGTAGC